TTTTGGCAAGAGCAATGTAATGAGAACCATTACATTTTATGATACCTTGATTTTGAATTAATATGTAATTTTATGTACATCTCTTTTTTAATGTGTTAGTTATCTGAAAAACCATATTATTTTAGGCTTTTTCTTTGCATTTGAATGCGTGTGCATATAGGATATATGTTTGGATTTGGTCCCCATGGGATGCCAGATGTGGCCATGCTGTACTTTCTTGCTGTTATTAAGAACTTATTATCATTCTTTGTCGATGATAAGGAAAATATCATTTTTAATTATCCGGTAGATGTGGCTAGACAAATTCATCTTGGTGTGGGTGATTCTAATTTTCTTTATAATTTTACATTAGTTCTATCGTATGTCTGCACATTGACCAAAAGATGGTCCCCTTTAGTTTGGGTTTATTACGTACTGCAGGCTCAAATTTGCTTTCAAATGTTTGTAAGTTTGTATCACCACACATTATTAGTTGCGAGGTTTTATTTTGCTTATATTTTCAATCTTTGCTGATAAATCTCGTTGATATTTCCCATCATCTAAATCTTGCTGATGCCAATTTTATTAAAACAGAATAGATGACTAGGAGTTGGAAGATTAGTTGATGATGTAAGTAGTTTGAGTTGAACTCCAACCAGCATTCTGAATCCATTTGCCTTGTTCGTTATTTTCTGGGAGTATGGATGATGGCCGGCAACATGAAAATGGGAGGCACAAACTAGATTATTTCAGAGGAAGCCCGTCGCCAGTAATTGCCTATTATTTTCCAGATTGTTTATTCTTTTATTTATTTTATTTATAGCTATTTTTAATTCATTAAATCAAGATTTTTTCTTCAATAGAATTGAATGAAATTTAAATGATGTATGCAGTGGAATATGGTACCCCAGCATCACGTCAAGGAACCAAATGCCTTGGTCATGAACAAGAAGATCATGTCCATTATAGCAGAGAGAGATGCTGCTATTAGGGAGCGAAATTTAGCACTATCTGAGAAGAATGATGCATTGGCTGCACGCGATGAGGCTCTCCGGCAGCGAGATGAGGCACTTGCACAGCGTGATACTGCATTGATGGAAAGGGATAATGCCCTTGCAGCCCTTCAAATTCGCGACAATGCTTCTAACTTTCCTCTTGGCGGTGGGATCCAGCAGAAAACAAAGCGATTGCACCATTTATCTAATCATATGCCGAACATGGCTGAAACTCCCTATGGTGCAAAAGACGTGCAAATAACTGATGCTTTTCCAATTACAGTTATAGCTTCTGAAGCTGTTAAGTCTCAACAGGGAAAGCGAACAAAGGATAACAAGGTAGTTTCATCAAAGACATCAAGGCCGCCGAGGAAGAAAGTTGGTGAAGATTTAAATAGACAGGCTGCCACCGATGGCACAAAGTACAGAACTGACTGGGATGGTCAGGATGTGGGTTTGAATCTAGTTAGTTTCGATGACTCTTCTATGCCAGCACCAATTTGCTCGTGTACTGGACTTCCAAGGCAGTGCTACAAATGGGGCAATGGCGGTTGGCAGTCGTCGTGTTGCACCACCCATATGTCCATGTATCCACTTCCACATATGCCTAATAAACGCCATGCCCGCATGGGTGGGCGGAAAATGAGCGGAAGTGTTTTTACAAAACTGCTCAGTCGGCTAGCAGCAGGAGGTCATGATCTGTCAATACCAGTGGATCTTAAGGACCACTGGGCAAGACATGGGACTAATCGCTACATAACAATCCGGTAGCTAGTTAATAGCTTCAGCAGGAGTAGAACATTTTTCAGAGGTCCTCGGGATGGTCTCGAATGCGGTCTCGTATTTGAGTAGACAACTTGGCTCAACTGAAGTGAATCTACATGAGGTAGAGCTCATCCCTTCCGTTGGCACAGGCTTTGTGATTAGACGCCCAACCTGGATGGACCACCCTAGATTGGGGATATTTGTAAAGTACGGCGATAAGAATGCGGCAGTCTTTTGTGCAAATTCCTTGGAGGCTGGCCGTGGGTTGCCGTCCTCAACTATTTTCCAAATGCTTAATTCCCCCATTAGAATTTCAGAGCAAAGGAACTGTAGAATCGAGATTGGATCGGTCTGAAATGATGTGAATGAAGCCGGGTTTATTTGATTATTTGAATTCAAGGTACCTATGCTAATCTGTTATAACCTTAGCATTCAAAAACTTACTTTCAAGGATCAAGCCTCGAGTCTCGAGAGGGCGATTCGTTGCTGAAATGGTGGTTGGAGAAACTTGTAGAATAGATCCTCCCTCCAACTCTTTTTGCACTTTGAAATGGAGTAAGAAGCTTCATTCATTTTGCCTGGTGTTGTGTTTGTTTCCTTCTCTATATGTTTGTTCCAATTGCCCCATTTTTTCAGGTGGCCTTCCCAAATCATGGCATCAACTTTTCTCCTTTCTCTGAAGCACAAATTCAAACTGTCCACCAGCAGGCAGGGCCCCGAGCTCCCATTTAAACAATGGCGAGGATTTGACGTTGTTTTGACTTATAAGATAAGGTTATTAATATATAATTAAACTCAAGTTGACATCCCCTCTGGGGTTATTAGCATGATCGAGTTGTCACATGACCATCGTTTTCTTTTAGTACAACTAATATGGGGGTGGGAGATTGGAGTTTCAATTTCAATAAAGGTAATTTGTGCCTTATTTATTGGATGGATTGGTGACACCAACACATGACCGTCATCTATTCGAGCTCATTTGAAGTCTTGTGGATTGAAAATAGATTTAACTGGCTCATGGCCAACTCAAACATATCGTTTTTAGCCCAAAAAGATTAAAGTATTGATTCAAAACTCCTATGACTGTTATAAGTTTTGAGTATTTTTTATGAGGTTTGAATACGACAGTACAATTTATTATTAAAATGGCCAAAGTTTGGGTTCGGCTCTCAAGACTCGGCCCAGACAGGCCCAACCTTTTATCTGGGCCAAAGGTCCACAATCAAGATCTAAATCCTTTGACAAAATTAAAGAGGGAATTATAAAAATAGCAAAAAAGAAATATTCATTTTTATATATACCATTCATTAGTCTTAAAATTTTATAAAAATAGCATAAATTGCAAACTTATACAATTTAATGAAACCAACCAAAAACTATTTTTGTGGCATTTAAAAAAAAAGAAAGGCAAATAATAATGATATTTTTCTTTATGCTATTTGGTATAATTTACCAAAACCAAACATATGGCTGGTCTTTTGGGGCCTATTCTTTCGTTACCTTATGAAGCCAAGGAGTGAAATAAGGAATATATATATATATATTCAGGGAATCCAAGTTTATCTATTTATTCTTGTGTCTTTCATCTAAATTTTCTTTTGGAAAGAATCTTTCATCTAAATTTTGGTTTCTTAATTTACTATGCATAGACTACATTACAAATCATACCTTATATTTTAAAAATAGTTTCAAACACTTTAGTGGGATCGAACATACATTTTTTTTTTAGAAAAGAAAAAATTTAGTGGTTACAGACATTTACTTCTTTTAAAGTCAGAGATTCAAATCCCTACACTGAAATTTGTTGTACTACAAAAAATTGTTATTAGCAAAACCTTAAAAAGTTAGTTTATTTTATGTGTGCCATCTATTTTAGTTTTGTTCAAACTAACAAAGGGTTCGAAATTACCAACCCGAGCATAAAGTAGATAATTCACTAGAATTGAAGTTTCAATCCTCCAGTTGTGTTTATTGAAAAAAAATCGTCAAGATATTAATAACTTCTTTTATAGTCATCAGTTTGAATTCTTATATCCTAATTCGAATTGTAATACTTAAAAAATGGTTTAAATACTATTTGTGTTCTTGTACTTTCGCTTTTGGTTCGTACCTATACTTTCAGCTTTTATTCATAGTCCTATACTCTTAAAAAGTAACTATTTTGGTTATTTCATCTTCATTTTTTGTCTTAGTTCTTTCCATCACAATCTTAACATGATACTTCACTCACAAAGTTTATGTATTAAACAATTTTTATTGTATATAAAATTTGCAAATAGAAACCAAAATGATCACCTTTTAAAAAGGACGATTTCGAAGTATCTGATTAAAATGAGTTTAGTTCATAACTAACGTCGAACTTACATCACTAAAATAGTAATTAATCCTAAAAAAAATTGATGAGAGCTGTTTGGATCTCCAAACCTATGGAGAATAGGAATTGAATTAGTTTGGAAGAACAAATCATGCAATTTTGGAAGCCATAAACTGCGGAATTTCCCTAAATTCCTCCGTGGATCAATAGTGAATAAAACAAAGTTTTTTTTTTTTTAAATATTTAAATGGAGATAGAGAATTGTCCCACACTATCAAACCTTTCCCAAGCCATAGCCATGATTGCCGCCCAATTTTGCCCTTTACATTCAAACAAAAAGAAAGAAATTCTTCTTTGTTTCTTCCTTCATTTCTCTCTCTCCATTCAACTTTGACAAAGTGGGTATAAATCAAACTAAAATGCTTTTTTTGACTTGCCATTTTCAATAATTTTTTGGGTTTGTGTAGGCTAAGGTTTGAAAAATTTTGGATGTAATTGATCGGTGATCTGAAAATAAAGATTCATTCGGTAATTCTACCACTCATGGATTCAAAAATGATAAAATCATCTTTTATTTATGTTTTTGATCCATTCGTAAACGAGAACCGTCCTAAAAAAAATGTAAATGAGAACAAGAAATAAAGAACTTGTTTTTGTTGTTTCCAAAATTTATATGCAATTTTGAGAATATTTTTAAAAAATTAGAAACTAGAAATATAAATAGTTATCAAATCCTTTCAAATTGAAAACGAGAAACAATAAACAAATATGTATTTCATGTTTCCCATGCTCTCGAATATGCATTTGAGTATATTTTGAAATTGAATGAGTAGTTGTTAAGTACTTATTCAATCTAAAATATTATTAATTAATTTATTAATATAGATGGCCAAAATGAGAATAGTTAAGCGATAATTGATATATTTCTAGGAGGTTGTGAGTTTAATCCTCTGCCCYACATATTGTACTAATTTTTTTATTAATATAAATTATATAAATTTTGTATAATTCTTTTTTAGAATATTATATAATTTATAATCTGTCGTGTTTTACCTATTTTAATTTTATAAAAAATGAACTGAATTTATAGCTTTCAAAAGTTAATTTATCAAAGTTTTTAAAATTTTTAAAATATAATTTTGTATATTAAATCTTAAAATTTAAAATTTGAAAAATACTGAAAATATTTTCACAACTCTAATTGTATAAACCTTATATTTAGTGGGTTGATTGGATTTGGATTTATTTCACTAGATCGATGGTTGATTTTGTAGGACGATTGATTCATTTCCTTAATTTGGCAGGTCGATTTTGCACTAAACTCAAATTAGTACATAAATTTAAACGTCTTAATCAAATTGAGCTATATTCAAGTTGGACCATAACTTAATAATGCAATTCTTGACATGGAGACTCTTTCTTCGGGTCTTTGGTTTATAACACGAAGAGTAAAACTTATATATCAAATATATATTTAACTTCAAAATGTTAGGCTACACAATTAGTCTTATATTCYTTTTTCACCGTCAACCATATCTTAAAAATCAATTATTACCATGGAAGGTTGACACGTTACCTATTGTCCAACAACGTGTGCACGTTCTATTTGGGATATTTGTTTTCTTGAAATAAAAATTATTTTAGTGCTTTCGTAATCTTCATATGTTTTCTTAAAAACTAAAGATATGTTTTGTTTAATAATAATGTTAAATAATTTTTATTTCTCGATAAATATCTCAATACTTAGGGTGTGTTTAAGAATGATGGTAGAAGAAATACTTTTGAAAAAAAAAATAATTTTCCAAAATCACAATTCAAGTGATACTTTAAAAGTCAATTTTAAGTGTAAATTTTTTAATTTGTCAGATTAATGGGAATGAAAGTAATTTTTTCAATGATAAAAGTGATTTTAACATGTCAAAATTACTCCCAAACACACTTTTGGTTTCAAATTTGTTGAAAGAGTCTATTTAGATAATATATGATTTTTTTTTTTACTTTTGGATATAGGAGGACTCGAATCTCGATATAGGTATCAACATCCAAACCTCTTATCACTATAGTATATATCTTTTAGTTAAGATATGTTATAGTCGGAAAGAAAAAAAAAAAAAGAAATATTTACTTCTTGGGAAGGGAGAAGAGAATATAAATGAAAAGCAATATGAGGATTTGAAGTTTGAAATGAAATCTTTAAAATTAATTGGATGTTGATATTCCCTTTTTCCTTTTTTTTTTCTTTTTTTGAGTAAAGGATGTTGATATTTCAAGTGCCATTAGATTTATTTTTTTATTAATGAATTAGATTATATAATATCATGAGAAAATGACAAAAGAGGACATTCATTGTCAAACATTAATGGGCCCTTCCTTATTATTATTGTATGGCCCATTAGCCTTTATTGAGTGTTTGGACAATGACTTCAATGAGAAGTGGAATGGATAAGCTCTTTTTTCTCTTCTTCTTCTCTTTTTCTTTCCAAAAAAACAATAATAAAATAAAGTTCTTCTTTGCCCTTTTTTTCTTCCCTTCAACCGCTCATAGCTTGCCACGTGTACTAGTCATCTATCAACACGTGCTCTCTATGCCCCACTAGACCTGGCCCACGTGATACTGATATCGACGGTGAAAGTCTTGCCACGTGAAGAGCATCGCGTACCCTCTTCTTTTCTTTATTCTTTGAAAAATTCTTTATTCCTTCTTTTTTTTTTCTTTTTGATTTAAATATTATTATATGGTTATTGTACTTTTAAAAAATTGTATGTATTTTTTACTTTTGTTTATTTTAATTTTTATATTTATAAAATATTCATTTTTATCCATATACTTTTAAAAAGTTTTTATTTTAATTTTATCGGTAAGATTTTAACATAAATTTTAAAACTTTTTAATAATTACCTTTCAAGAATTTTTGTGACTGAAATGTCATGTTAAAATAGTGATTAAAAGATAAAAATGAATGAACCAAAATTGTAATTTTTTTTTTTGAGTAAAGAGACTAAAATAAACCACATATGAAAATACTATGACTAAAATAGACACTTTGAAAGTACATAAACCAAAACCAAAGTGCAAAAATCACATAACCTAAATAATATTTCATTTTTCAAATCATTGTGTTTAACTGCCCATATAGTTGGATAGACATTTGGCTCTTTTAATTTAATTACTAACAAATAATTTTCTTCAAATTATGCATCTCTCTAATTATATTATACTATATATATATTTGTAATAATTGAAAAATTAATAATTGAAATAATTTTTATATATTTAATTCTTATAACATATCTCGATATTTATAAATAATTAAAATTCAACGTACAATACAAGTGAAGAATGCTATAAATTATGATAGAGTAATAATAAGAGAAAAATAAACATAAAATGAGTACTTTTTTGGACTTATAAGTTGAATACAAGGTGAATTTTGTAGATATTTTATAATAAGGTCCCTAGCTATATGAATTATGAAAACAAGGTAATCGTAGAGACAATTAAAATAAAGTTTTAATACAATCATTTTTTTTTTCTTTGGTTTGTTTATATCATAATTCATCTGGAACAATTGGACTTATAAATATAATTTTGGTGCATTATTTAGCCTAGC